TTTTTTTTTTTTTTTTTATCTAGGCCAATGAAAGGAAGAGGAAGGAGCACCAATTCAGAAAGAGGGAGTTATAAGATCTACAATGTATTAACATGGTAACTCTTTGAAGCCTAAGAGAAACAGAATCCTATTTGAATTCTGAACCATGGGGTCTGAGATGAAGACGAAATTGAGATGTTTCTGTTGGAATTTGGGTAAAGAGCGTTTACTCAGTATGTATGTTCTCGCTCTGCCCCAGTCTTCACAAGAGCGTCTGGACAGGCATTAACAAGCACCATTTTAAAATTTTTTATTTTTTTGCAAATGGATCATTTTTTCAGTAATGGAGAAAGATGACTACAAGCACAATGTGTGTAGTGTCATTATATCCCTGTTTTAACCAGTGGAATATATTTGGGGTGGAGGCTACACCACTGGAAAGAGCTTTTCCTTTGTACCAGAGTACCTGCTTATGTAAGGATTTATGTTTTTGACTGTTAGCATGATGTCACTGAGCTAAGCTTTCTAGTTTGGTTCAGCCCCACGAAGTTTGCGTGATCTGTCAACTTTTTTCAAGCTCAGCCATCACCCTGGGCTTGGGGCATCTGAGGGCAGGGAGGAACAGGTGTCCAAAGGAGAAATGCTGGTGCCTGAGAGCAATGTTTTCCAGTTGTATTAAATTTCTTACTTGGTGTATTTTTGACCTGTCTTAGTTTCTTTCCTTCTTGTGTCCTATGCTGTTTTGCTTGCTATTTGTTGTATGTCCTCTATCAGCCATTTAGGAGTTGTAAAATGGAAGGTATTTCTACTGAAATGTTTTATGGGTGGAACTGACAGGTTAAGCATGGTGTGTAGTAGCTTCTTTCAGAAAGAGTGAAGGTGATAAATGTGTTACCATGGCTTTGGATAGGTTTGGGGTATCTGGGGCATATGGCCCTTCTTAGAAACAAATGAGTATTTCAGGACCCTCAACTACCAGTAGGTCTACTAGGGAAATGGGTAGATTTGTTCCCTGTCCCTTTGTTCTCCGTGACTATGTTCAAGCTGTTAAAGGATTTAAATAGGTATTTAGGAGGGAAAAAGTCTTTGTTGTTTCCCTTTCCTCACCTTACCAGTTAAGACAGAAATAACTAGTGATGACACTTTAGGTGGTGGAATTGAAACACAAACCCAACTTCTGACCACATGGGCCACAGGCAGTTGGCTTACAGCCCTTGGTGTGGGGAGGTGGGAAGGGCGGATTAACTTCTGCTTTCTTCTCAGAGAGGCTTGGTTGTTTTTGTTTTTGTGTCTCTCTTGTGTGTGTGGGAGGGGGTGTGGGGTAGAGGTGTTGGTGGGGTGGTTGTTACCTTTGGTTTGGTCTGGTAGAGTGTGTGTCCTTTCTCTTCAATTGCACTGAGGCTGTTAATGAAGGGTATCATTTCTCTAGCTGATATTTTCGGTAAATAATTACAGACTTGATTTTTACTAGTAGATCTGTTAGTTCCAGCTTTCTTGCATGAAGCATTAGTTCTTAACTGCGAATTTGAAGCTGCTCCTAAGTAGATGGTCTCTATGAAAAGTTTTGGATTTGATTCGGTTTTGCTTTGTTGAGCAGTCTTTCTTGGGAAAGGTAATTGACAATAGCAGAGATGGTTTCTATTCCTAGGCTTCTGCATCTAATCTTAATGTACTCACATAATTTTAAAGTCCTTTTAAAAATGGGAAGGAAATATCCCCTTACTTTCTAATGTTTGCTAAAAGTTGTCTTTGGAAATGCTAATCTTAATAGGTCTCTTCCTTTGTCATGTGTCATTAGCCTTTTGGCTGTTTACCTTAGGGCTCTTTGAGGGGGAGGAGTGGGTGGGGCACAGGGAAAAACTTGTTACTCTGAGAGAAAGTTAAGAACTGGCTCAGGGCTCTTTGCAGAATTCCCAGCCCCAGACTTCATCTAGAACCATTCAGTAGCACCAATAAAAATACCTTCTTAGCACGTGTTATATTCCAGGGAATGTTCTAAGCTTTTTATACACATTTCTCCTTTAGTCTACATTTCTCTTTTATCCACAGTCCTATATGTGAGGTAGGTATTTACTTTGTTCTCATTTTCCAGATAAGGAAATTGAGGCCCTGAAAGATTAAGTTACAGGTTGTACACACTGGGGCAGAGAAGGTGGGAAAGAACCTGAACAGGGTGGGAAGGGAATCTGAATTTTATTTGGGTGGATGTAGGCACGTGTATTTTTCTTCTTCTTCTTCTTTTTTTTTATTCTGAGAGAACAGCATTGAAACAAGTATACTATCAAGGGTGAAGCAGATCACCAGCCCAGGTTGGATGCATGAGACAAGTGATCGGGGCTGGTGCACTGGGAAGACCCGGAGGGATGGGATAGGGAGGGAGGCGGGAGGGGGGGTTGGGCTGGGGAACACATGTAAATCCATTGCTGATTCATGTCAGTGTACCTCCAACTAATAAAAATAAATGGAGAAAAAAATGAAAGTCAAATGGAAATTTTTAGAATCAAAAAGTGCTGTACTTCAGATGAAAACCATTATAGTTGGGTTTAACAGAAGATTAGAGTAGAAAAGAGGATAGGTGGACTAGAAGACAAATCAATAGAAAAGCCCAGAGAGAAAGGGAAAAAAAAAAAAGATGGAAAATGATGGAAGAGTTTAATAGACACAAAGCATGGGATACCACGGTTGGAAATAAGTGAGAAAATAATAGTTTACACAGTGATTCATAGTATATTTTTCTTCTTCTTCTTCTTTTTTTTTTTTTTTTTTGTCTTAGACACCAGACATTTCAATTATTCATCATATCTGGAGGTAACACCACTGATGCACTCACTGAAAGTTGTTTACAATAATCAAGATGAATTTATTATCCTTAGACATTACTGTGTTTTGATTGGGCCGCAGTATGGTCTGTGGAAGCAGGCTTGAGGAGAAGGGTTCATTTTGTTTGTAGTTAAAGATTCTGTCTGTCCTAAGGATGGAATATTTGATCATCCTAATTTCATTATATTCCTCAAAACAGTTGGAGTTGATTGTTTTTGAGTACTCGTTCCAAACTTTTGGATGGTTTCTTTGGAAAATAGCCTAAGATTTAACATTTCATCTGAATTTAAAAGGTTGTTCATTTTTCTTTTAAAGGGGAAAGAAAAATCGGAGCAATTAGGAATTCTGGTTTCATCTCATGGATAGAAAAACGAGCCATTTACCTCAAGAAAAGTGATACTTCTGAATCCCGCTCTTCAGTAATGAGAACTAGACGGGTTTACTTGATGTCTACTTTGTAATAGTGGGGAACCCCCTCTCCAGAGGTTTTGAGGACTGCTAAAAAGGGTTTTCTAGATTCTGGGGAAAGAAGTTCAAGAGAGTCCAGCAACATTGTCATTAGAAAAATGGTCTTCATCAAGTGCTAGTCTTAGAATCCTGAAGCTTCATTTTCACCACAGTTTGAAAGGCAGCAGAGTAGGAGAGGCTGTACGGGGGAGGAGAAACGCTGAGGAGAGATGCATTACGGAGGCCGCGAAGTCAGTGTGTTAAAGTGGGAAGAAGCAGAGACTGCGGTCCCTGAGTGAGAACAGAAGAGCGTGCTCTCAGGTCAGAGCCAGAAGGTTTGAGTTTACCTAGTTCATTCTTAGGTTTACATCTTGGTTCTTTCCTTATCTTATATGTATATATACGCTTAGGCTTCCTGAACCATTTATTTCTCTTTGCAAAAGAGACTAATGGACATTTTCTAGCAGACAAAAAGGGCCACTGTAGCAGTTTAGCTGAGGAGTGTAATCAGAAACTTCATCATTTTCTGTCCCCTCCTGTCCTAGGCTGACTGGTTCCCTGATGTGTTACCTGCTTCTGCCACTGATTGAAACTACAGAACTTCTCATTGGTCCCCAAGACTTCCAGTAGGGAGTCAGATGGCGTTGGCCAGCCCCTTCACTCTGGTGACTGAGGAGAGGAGAGTGGGCAGCGGCTATACGTGTGTAGTGGATGGGAAAGAAAAAACTGTCAGATTGCTGTGCTTTTTCAGTTTCTTTTACCAAATTCCACAACCGTTTTATTTTCATTGTGTATGTACGAGGAAAACTGGAGATGGTGACGTTGATTAGAATGTAACTTAAGAGGAATAAATGGAGGGGCTAAGATAAGAGTCAATTATGAAAGATGTTGAAGTCTTGAAATAATGTGACTACCTGAAGATTTTTTTTTTTTAAACCAGAATTTATACAAAACTGACAGCCTGCCCCCTAATTTCCCGCCACAGGAGACTTACAGGACTGGAGGCAATTGTTACTCCTCCCTCCCTCCCGGCCCCGCTCTCCGGCCCGGCCTTAATCCCCCTTTGTTTTTCCGCCCGCCCGCCCCGGCGGAGCGGGGCTGCTGAGGGGAAAGGAGGCGGCCTCGCGGGGCGCGGGGGAGAAAGCAGGCCTCGGGGTGACCCCCGGGCCCCCCCAGCACACACACGCACACGCACACACCCTTCGCTCCCGCCCCGGAGGGGAAGGGAGGAGGCCGGCCGCTGTCACCGCCCGCGGCCCGGAGAAAGGAGGGCGCCGGGCCGCTGGAGAGCGCGGTCCGCTTGGCCGCGGCGCGCCGGGCCGGGGCCCACGCCGTGGGGTGAGGGGGTCCCCGGGTCCCACTCAGTCCCCCCTACTTGGTCTGTCTTTCGCTCGCTCTCCGTTCTTTACGCCTCTCTTTTTGTGCGTGTGTTGACTTTCTGACACCCCCCCCCCCCCCCCGTCCCCGCGAATAGCGGGTATCCCTGGGCTCCCCGCCACTCCCCCTTCCCGCCGCCCCCCTCGTGTTTACCCACTTGGGGGTGTTGTGACTGTGTGTCCCCTCCCCAAACTTTTTCACTGGCTTTACGTGTTTTCTCTCGCAAGCCTCTGCCGAGCCTTGGCAGCTGACACCCGCTCCCTCTGTCCAGCTCTCCCGCCGTCCCATTCAGCCCGGGGAATCCCCCGGCCGGGGAGGGGGGTGCGGGGGGGCCAGGACTCGGAGGCCCCACCTTCTCCCGGGGCGCGCTTCTCTCTCGTCCCACCTCGAGCGTCTCCTCCAGCCAAGTGGGGGAGACGGCAAGTGGAGAGAGCAAACAAAGTCCGCTTACAAAGCCCCCAGATGAGTCATTCGTGGGGTGTTGGTTTTCATTTTTTGCAAGAAACTTGAAGGTGACTGTGGCCGATATGTTGGCAGTCCTCTTGTCGGCTCACTTGAGGTGGGGACCCCTGTTTAGAAGACCGAGAACTTTTTCTTTTTTTTTTTTTTTTTTTTTCCTGCTCCGTTTCTGTTTGCAAACGAAGCACTTGGTGGGCAGTAGTAATGAGCTCACGGGGAAACTTCGGAACTGGAGGCTAGGAAGCTCGTCACTTTAAGTGCGTTCTTCCCGCCTCTTTGAGTTATTTTCCTTCTTTGAATAACTTCGCGAAATCCCAAACCAGTAGCTTGGGTGCTCGAAACCTTTTGTGACTAACCAAGAACGGATGCAGAATTTTCAAAAATAATCCTCCCAGCCCCTGGGCCCATCCCAGTGGAGTTAATATAGGGAACTGGATAATTCAAACGTTGCCTATTGTGTAGAGATGGTTTATTGTTTGAAGATATATTCTTTTGAATGTAATTTGCTTTTTAAATAATTGTATTATATTCAGGCTTCTTAAAATTGAGCATACTCAAAATTATGGAATTCACTAACTTGGCCTTTTTCTCATTCTGATCTAGTATTGTTTTAACGTGCTTTGATGAGATTGATAATGAGATAAGCCAACTTAAAAATGCATTGGAAAAGAAATGATATATAACCAGCTTGCATCCAGGTTGGTGTGAAGGTGGCAAATGCCCTCTTGAGAAAAAGCTTTCAAACGGTCATTTTAAAATATGGGATTAGTGGGCCACTGAAGTGATTTCTCACATGAGGAATGATTTAGATTTACCGTATTAAACGCGCTCTCTCTTAATGGAGATTGGAAAAAATTGAGAGTTCTTTATGTAAAAGAAAACCCCCTAACTGATTTCTGGAAAACTGTTGAAAAATCTTTTGGAATACTTTTATTATTCTTTTCCTGGGGAAAGCAAATGCCAAGCATTTATTGATCAACTTTTTAATTAGATTTTATATTATTTAATTTTTTTCAGCTATTAAAATCTTTTTTTCCACCTGATGGAGAAGTGTGAAAGCTAATATTTGATCCTGGGCTTGGCAATGTGTGCAGTGATAATTTAGAGCCGAGGACAGTTGAATGGGTAAAGAGAATATTTCAGTCTTTTCTCTGGAAAGGTATGAATAGACTTACTCAGTTCCAGTTTTAAGTAATTTTCACTGGGGAAATGGAGAGTCGAACTCTCTTGTTGTTTCCTGAAGCATCCTATTGAATTTATATTTTAAAACAATTTTAATACCTGCTTGCTTTCCAAATAACCTGGTGGAAAGTGAAAGCCATAGCTGTTAAAATGTTTGATGGATGATTCTTCTAACAGGACATTCAAGATATGACTCACTGATGCTAATTTCTTCAGTGCAAAATCTTTTACCCTCTGGCACTGGAGATTTCATGGTGCCATATCCTACCACCCTGGGTGATGAAGTAACATTTCTGTTTTGCCAGCCCCAGAAGAAAGCTTGGGCAGGGTTTTAAGAAAGAAAAGAAAAGCCTTGCTATTGAAAGAGATGGGAGATAAATTTTGGTTTGATGATGCTAGTCAAATAAAAGTCTACCCAGAAGTTATATATTTTAAAAAATCACCTAACTGAAGGCAGGCCATGGTTGTTATTTTACTCTGTCTCTCCCCCAGAGAACAAGTTGGGGAAACCCAGTTCCCCTCTTAGAAGGCTTCATGTAGAAGTGTGGGGATCCTAGGAATCCTCAGAGAGTGATTCCCGTAGTGGTCAAGGCATTCTACAGCATTTCACCCGAGAAGCAGGGACCTGGTGTGACCCTCGTGTGAGAGTGAGCTTCAGCAATGCTGTAAAAATACTTTATGTTGCCACAGACATCTGAATTGGTAAAATGGCAGTAAGTGCTTTTAGTACTCCATCGAACTAATGGTTGTTTAGAATTGAAAAATGCCTCTAAACACTATAAGTCTGAACTTTGTCCAGAAGATTTGCATTTCCTATTATCTGATCTGATAGCCTTTGAAATTGTATATCTTGAGCTATCTTCAGCTATTAACCTTTTATATATTATATGGAAGCTTGGGTATCGTACAGCCAGGTTGGAGATGGGGTAAGATTAGAGTCCACATTCTATAAAAGTGTCTACTGAGGTCACTTAGGTAGATCCTGACAATGGTAGGAGCTCCCTAAATTAAATGAAACGTGGACTGTAATTCAGTATGAGCACTAAAGTCTCGAAAGAGAGCTCATAAGTAAGCACAAAAGGAAGATTCAGTCAAAATGACTAGATTGAAAATGGTAACTCAGTAACATCTGATGATTCAGGGGAGTCTGGTTCTAGGCTTAGTTAACTATTGTGCTGCTATCAAGTAAACATGGGGCTGTGTGTGGTAGATGTTCTTATTCATCAGAAGAGCTGTGTGTGTGTGTGCGTGTGTGTGTGTGAATGAGTGAGTGTGTCTTGTCTGTCTCCATGGTTTTTTCTCCTTAATGGAGTGAACTGTAGGACCTGGGATTATAGAGTATAAAGGGTAAATAGGTGTCTAGAGTCTCTAAGCTGATGGGATGGACCCTTCCAAAGATGTTGTATGCTTTAAATATTTGGAACACTTACCTCTGAATGCATATATCCTTTTAGGATTACAAAACTCAAGCACATGGGCTCAGGGTTACTGTCAAGAGTTTCAAAATTCATGTTGATCAAGTACAACACATTGGGAAGAACTATTTCAGGAATTTTTTTTCCCCATCATTTCCTAAATGTTTATCAGTGTGGAGGTATGGACAATTTTGGAAGAATCAAATCCAAGAGAGTAATTACTCATAAATACCAAGAACCTGATCCACAACGAAATGTTGGTTTCAGTGCAGCTAAAGAAAATTTCCAAACAGTGTCCAGCCCCCAGTTTTGGAGGAGTGGAAAGCACTTTATAACAGCAAATGCCCAATACTTTTAACAGGACTTAGAACCACTAGAAGTAGGTGAAAATGAAAGGAATTTAAATTATTTATATCTTGTTTTCTCTTACTAGTTTGAGTTTAGGGTTTGAACTAGTGTTGCTAAAGGATGAGATGAAATGAACTAAAAAACAACTGACAGGTGTCTGCTGGGGGCTGCCTTCACAGATACCTTCCAGGTTTCATTTCAGCCAAATCTTTTAGTAAAATTAAGTGAAAACTTTGAAAGTAAACTTAACAACTAGCATACGTATTCCCAGAACTAGTGCCTGTCTTTTCCTAGGTAAAATAAACAAGTAGATGATAATATGTCTGTATGTATATGTGTGTGAGTGTGTGGCTTGTGCATTACTGCAGTAAGGTACTGTTAAACACTTAAGTCTAAAGTGTAATTTTTTTGACAAGTTATTTAAACTTGGTTTCAGCACTGGCAGACTAACACAAACTGATTTCGTCAGCTGGTATGTCCCTTATGAACCAGGGTGGTGTGTAGTTTAGTCAGCTGTTTGAAAGCAAGATCACTGTCAGCAATTTATTTGCAAAAGTTTTGTGTCTGTGCAGTGATTTTAAGTGCTTTGTAATGGGAGCTCTGAGAGTAGCTAGGTAGTTGCTGGATCTCTGCTGCAGAGAGTAGCTTACAGGCTCATTGATTGTTTCTTCTGGTCTCTTGTTTTCTGAAGCATGTTGTATTTTGAGGGTCGTTGTGAGAGGCCAAGTTTCTGAAGTGTGAATGTTTGATTTTAGGCCCATGAAGCCTCCCATCATCAGCAGCAGGCAGCACAGAACAGTTTGCTGCCCCTTCTGAGCTCTGCTGTGGAGCCCCCTGATCAGAAACCATTGCTTCCAATACCGATAACTCAGAAACCTCAGGCTGCTCCAGAAACATTAAAGGATGCCATTGGGATTAAGAAAGAAAAGCCCAAAACTTCCTTTGTGTGCACTTACTGCAGTAAAGCTTTCAGGGACAGCTATCACCTGAGGCGCCACGAGTCCTGCCACACAGGCATCAAGCTGGTGTCCCGGCCAAAGAAAACCCCCACCACGGTGGTTCCCCTCATCTCCACCATCGCTGGGGACAGCAGCCGAACTTCGCTGGTCTCAACCATTGCAGGCATCTTGTCCACAGTCACTACATCTTCCTCGGGCACCAACCCCAGCAGCAGTGCCGGCAGCACAGCTATGCCCGTGACCCAGTCTGTCAAGAAACCCAGTAAGCCTGTTAAGAAGAACCACGCGTGTGAGATGTGTGGGAAGGCCTTCCGAGATGTGTACCACCTCAACCGGCACAAGCTCTCCCATTCGGACGAAAAGCCCTTCGAGTGTCCTATTTGCAATCAGCGCTTCAAGAGGAAGGACCGCATGACTTACCACGTGAGGTCTCACGAAGGAGGCATCACCAAACCCTACACTTGCAGTGTTTGTGGGAAAGGCTTCTCGAGGTAGTGCATTTTGCTCTGTTTCTTTGTTTTTCTTTCTGTTTTTCCTATCATGGTATCAGTACAATCTCTAGATCTAGAATGTTTATGTGAGACTAGATATGTGCAGGCCTGCCTTATTAGAGGAGATTGGTGACAGATAAAGTATTATACCTCCAGGGCTAATTCCAGTTTGGTGTGGTTGACAAGTGTGACATAGGGATTAACTAACTATTTCGTTTAAGAAGTGCCTTGGTGGACTCAGGCCTTTATTCGGCACAGCAATACTTCTTATCACTGCAAAACCAGTACTTTTCGGTTCAATTGGGTGACTGGTCTTGAGGTTAACTGCACAAATCAAGGAAACATATCCTGGAAGTTAGGATGACCTTGGATACTCTTAAAACTTTTAAGAGAGTGTGTTTTTCCATTTCTCTCTGGTTACTAACATTTCACTAATTTTCATTTGTAAAGGCTTTTTAAAGTTAATATTAATAGCAGTTGTCTCTGGCAAGTGATAGTAAATTTTGGGTATTCTGTAACTGTAAAGAGTCAAGACCTAGTATGATTTGATGTTGACTAGAAGAAAAAATTAACAAGTAAAGGACTAAGACTTTTGTTTATGGTAAGAGAGGTAAGGAGGCTTGCACTGGGGGGTGGGGGAGTTGGTAATTCTACTAGCTTTCTTTAAAATGCCCCCCACCCATATCTGCCAAGCATGTAAACATCACAGTAAGTAGCATTTCTCTATGTGTGTGTTCCATTACATCTTCTGTTGAAACTCTCTCTTTCACAGGCCTGACCACTTAAGCTGTCACGTAAAACATGTCCATTCAACAGAAAGACCCTTCAAATGCCAAGTAAGAGTTAAAATGACTTATCCGTAGTGTAGCACTTAATGCACATTGTCCAGAAGGTCTGAGCCATCTCACCATTCTTGAATAGTCTTAAAATCACTGACTTGAGTAAATGTGGTCCTCTTGAATTCTAGTTTTATAAAACATAAATGACAGCTTCTATTTCTGGGAGGCGTGATCATTTAAAAATGTAAATAAATGTTGTTTTTGTTAAGCTACATTTCCTTTTCCTTGGGCAGCAGTGTTAAGTAATAAGAAAAAAAAATGTATTGTCTTGCAAAGGTCACTGTATTTGAAATGAATGAAGGGCTTTAAATTAATTCCTGGGCTGATGGTTGAGGTGGTTTTAACTCTTAATAGAAGAAAATAGGGATGTTTTCCCAAATGTAACCACTTACTGGATTTTTGTCTGCTATTGCCACATTGGAGCATTTTTAATGACATAAATTGTGGTAATGAGAAGTTTAAGAATCTTAATGAAATGACTGTTAGGTGTCAGTAATTCTGTTTTTTATGCAGGAAGTCTTTTTGTGCTCCTTTTAGTTAAATTTGTTAATAACTGATTTTATTAAGTAAATGATTGAATTCTAAGAAAAATCCAGTTGGAGGAAGGAGACTAGTGTCATTGAGTGAGTACCTGCTATGAGGCCGTGGGCCAGGCTCTTAATCCACCAGTAATTTTGTGAGGTAGGTATTACCTTCATTTTACAGATGAAATAAATTCAGATAGGTTAGCTAGCTTGCTGAGTATTACACTGTTTAGTGAATTAGGAAGCTGGATTTAAATCCAAGGTTGACTGACTCTGCAGCTCACATCTTTTCACTACTTGTTTGATGTTTTTTTCTTTCCCTCGAAATGTAAGAGTCCAAAATTGACCAGGTGTTTTGTTATGAGTACAGTTTTAGGTAAGACATGCAATTAAAATCCAACTAATTCAGTCTGCTTGCTTACTTGGGTAGGGTAATACCTTAGAATATAACGTACTTTAAAATGAGTAGAACAGGATAGTCTATATTTAAAAAAAGTTTTCCTCCCTCATGCAGACATGCACTGCTGCCTTTGCCACCAAAGACAGACTGCGGACACACATGGTGCGCCACGAAGGCAAGGTGTCTTGTAACATCTGTGGGAAGCTCCTGAGCGCAGCGTACATCACCAGCCACCTAAAGACGCATGGGCAGAGCCAGAGTATCAACTGCAACACGTGCAAGCAGGGCATCAGCAAAAGTGAGCGGTGCCCCAGCTCGCGGTTCTCGTGGTGGTTCAGATTGATGGAGTGTAGATTTTTTTTTTTTAAATGATGTATTGAAGATATTTTCACTTGTGTTCTCAGGACCGTATTAATATTCATCTTACTTGTTTCCTCCTGTTACTAAAGTATGCAAGCACACATCAGCGGAGAGTGTACGTTAGTGTTGGAAACACACTTCACATGCGCGTATGCAGACAGCACTGATGAGCGCTCCACTGATTTTGCTTTGCTCCCGCACCGTCTGCTAGAAACGCCCGGGTTAGAGGAGCACAGTCTCCCGGCAGCTGCTTTTCAGCGTGTCCCTTCTTCCGGGGCTTGCATAGGAAGCTGTAGTGTGTGTGTTGTGGTAGAAGTGCCTCCTGACTCCTGATTGCATTAATAACATGTCCTCAGTAACCTAAAGATAAAAGCAGTGTTAAGTAATTTTATTTTCCAAACCCAAATCTATACAGAAAAGGGATATCATATCCATTGGAATGTTTAAATGCTTTGCTTACCTTAAATTCAGAGCCAAAGATAGACTATTCCACGGACCTGTGGATAAAATTCAGTACTTGCATTCAGAGGCATTTTCTTTTAAGATCTCCCTAACCACCAGAAGAAAGTGTTTTCCTAATTCTGTATTCTGTTATATATGTGCTTTATGTGGCAGAAACATCAGATTCTCAAAATAGCTGGCCAAACGTGAATGGGAAAGAATGTTAATGTGTTCTAATGTCATTTGTTTTTGCTTCTTTGTAAGTATGTTGAGTTTATTATCTAGCATGTCAAACTTTGTTAATTTTACAGAAATTTACTTTTAATGTATTGTGATCAAATAACTTAAGTATATTAGATATTTTGATGAGCCTCAATTATTCCATGCTAATATTACCCAAGTTCAATTCTGAAAGATACTTGCTTTTTAATGTAGCAAAGAATTCTTTTATATTGATTCTCCCTAGCTTTCTGGATTTTTTTTTTTTTTTTAATTTATCTATTTTGACCAATATTGACATAGCAGCAGACAAGATGTACTAGAGTAAAAAAATTATTGGGTCAGATGATAAAGATCATAGAGGTGTGAGGAGTCAAGGTATCTTAAGTTTTGGATTTTGGAAAAGTAGCCCACACTTTTTCAGGGTAAATCTGGTGTTTCTGGTTTGTCTTTGGAGTAGCGTGCATGAGTGAAGAGACCAGCAACCAGAAGCAGCAGCAGCAGCAGCAGCAGCAGCAGCAGCAGCAGCATGTGACGAGCTGGCCAGGGAAGCAGGTAGAGACATTGAGACTGTGGGAAGAAGCTGTCAAAGCAAGAAAGAAAGGTAAGATGAGGTGTCCAGTGCCCACAGCATGGCTAGAAGAGCGTTTGCGTCTAGTGTGTGCCAAGTAGCAAAGGAAAATAGCCACAGCTCAGAGATTCCTGCTTTATGGACACACTTTATGAAGATACTCTGTGCTGGGAAGTATCTGGTTGAGTTATTAGCAGCAAAGCTTCTAAGCTTCTGGATAGTTTTCTTTTTCCTAGGAAATAAAAATTCTCAGTACTTCTTATCATGTTCTTTCTTTTGATTTACCTTTCATTACAAATTTGGAGTCACATTTGGTACTTTGCTATGTACACCCAGAGTTCCTTTTTATGTTCTTTTTATGTCAGCCTCCATGCATTAAAGGCTCCTTGTTTTTTTTTTCTTTCTAAAATATTCCCACTCTTAGAGGTAGATGAACTATCCTTCTGTGCACATAAGTTCATTTTCTTACAACTGTGCTATTTTCTGCTCTTTAGGGTTGTTTCTGAATTGTGGTGTTTTTTTTTTT